TGGTCTTATAACCACGCACAGTAATACACGCAACCGATATCAGCACTTAAGGAGGTTCATTACCTTTGTAGAAGGGTTTGAAGAAGAGTCTGACTTTGTGCCCTTTCTACGTTAGAAATGCGTGCGCATGTCCCGTAATTTAACATTGAGTTGTATTAACACTCCAGATTATTCATTAATAACTATTTTTACAAGGATTCGACGTGATTATTTTACATAATAAAAAGGCACATGTTAATTTACTGTTGACTACAGTTTTGTCCAAATCTGACTGTTAATTGAATTTAATCTTATGATTATAAGAGTGGCTTTTGGTGATCTTCCATAAGAACGCATGTGTAATTCACTCAATTCGTTTCATTAAATTTTCGTTTTATAAGCATCCAGAGTTGTTGAGACTTAGCATAAATATTTTTTGTACATTATTGAAGTTCTATGTCTAAGGCAGGGAGCACGTCATCAGCCTTACTGATGAGTCCTGGCGTGCTCTCGGGACGAAACACCTTTTTCTCTCTCTTATAGACGACCTCTTCGATCTCTATATACATACAAAGATTTCTTTCGAATTGGAATTACTGCGCCTACTGACTGCTGCAAATATCATGCGATTTTGAATTTGAATTCTCGTGCCAAGTAGTTCGCAGTGAGATCCAGGCAGCGGCGCTATGTGCGATCAAGCATGAACTGTGAGCGTAGAATAATGCTTAGACGCTTAGACAACCGCTGCTGCGTATAGCGCTCTCGCATACTTATACACTCTGAGAATACATATAGGGTAAGTAATCTCGTCTATCGCGAGAGAACGAACGAATGCCCATGCAAAGATTGCGTATAGTATACATATATTATAAGAATACACGCGGAGTATATCTGTGTAAAATCTCGTCTGTCGCGAGAACGGCTGAAAATGCTCACCCACAAAAGTGCCCAACGCGACATAAGANTAAAAAAAAATTATTAAGTTGATTTCTTAATTGCTTAATGATTTTTATAAAAAAAATTAAGCACTCCGGGAGTGCAGGCAGAAGTGAAAACTTGAACTTATGGCGCGTTAGGCACTTTTTTGGGTGAGCATTTTTAGGTGCGCTCGCGACATGAGAAATTGTACGTAAAAAATCAAGTTTATCAAAGTAATGTGGGCACTTTTTGAATGGACATGAAAAATAATATTATAGAAACTATATTCGAAGGAAGTGGTTTTATCTAAATTAGTAAATATTAGTAAATAGTAAATACAAAATTTATCAATTTTTTTAACACATTACCATAGCAGCAACACAAGTCAAATGAAATATTTCAATAATAAAATTTTCCGTTCAATATTCATTTATAAAATGGATATAAAAAAACTCTCAATCTCGTCTGTCGCGACGGCACGAACGAATGCCCATTCGAAGACTGCGTATCAGCGTTGGTCTGAGCAATATTCCACGCTCACAGTTCATACTTGATCGCACATAGCGCCGCTGACTGGATCCCACCGAGAACTACTTCGCGCGAGAATTCGAATTCAAAATCGTATGATTTTTTCAACAGACAGTAGGCGCGGAAATTCAAATTCGAAAGAATTCTTGGTATACTATTTATGTATGTAATCATACAACATTATCCAATATTTTTAGGCATTAATTAGCCAATACATACAAAGATTTCTTTCGAATTTGAATTTCTGCGCCTACTGTCTGCTGAAAAAATCATACGATTTTGAATTTGAATTCTCG